CCTTTCTTCTTCTTAGTTTTTTCTTTCTTTTTCTTTGGAATAAGCCTTATATTTTTTTATTCTCTTTTTTTAAATGTTCCTTTTTCTTTTCTCCTTTTTTGAGATCATGCTCCACCCATTTTTTCCAAGTTTGCTTCAACAAACAGATCAAATCAGACTTAGTTAAAGGTCCAAACACTCCACCACTGCAAGCAAGGATGAGCTCTGCAGAGGACTTAAACCAATAATATGAAAATACAGGTAAGGTGAATAATTTTCCAGGAAAATATAAATGACCAAAATTGATTTATTTGTCAATTCTGGTCTATTCAGATACTGAATATATTTTTACAAGTTACACATCAATTGTCCCCAAAGCTCTTGTCCAGATGGTTCCCTGAGTTAATGCTAGAAAACCAACAGTTCTGTGGTGCATAAAAAAAAAAAAATCTTGGCAAAGAAGATGGAAAGTTTCATTATTTGTTCTAAGATTGCTGTGCAATCTTTTTTTTTATAATTTTATTTTTAAGAAACACAAGGTGAGGCTTGAACTCACAACCTGGGATCAAGAATCACATGGTCCACCAACTGAGCCAGGTGCTCCAGTCACATAATCTTTACTCCAAATTGATGAGAATAACACTGTGGGTGGTGGTGGGGAGAGAATTAAATATAGGGAAATTACATACCTACCTCACTAATGAATATAGAAGAAAAGCTGATATTAAATATTAGTATACAGAGAAGAATATTGTAAAAGTACTACACCAGGACTGAGTAGAATTTATTCTAGGAATACAAGAACTCTTCAGCATTGGTGTAGATGACGTAATAGAGCTCTCTCTTTACTGCAGAAAGAATCACAGGTTTGATGTCCATGAATGTGGAGCACCATCTTTAAGATCAGATCTTTTTTTTTTTTTTTTCCATTACAACCTCCTTATATAATTCAGTCTCTGTCCAACTCTAAGTTTGGACCAACTCTCTGAAAAAGCATAATCAAAGTATAGTAACCAGAGTTCATCCACTTCCTTCCTCCAAGTGGAAAGGATTCATGTGAATGCTGTTCTCAAAGGGCCTGCATTCAGCTGGCGGCTTCTTTACAACCAATTCTCATTCTACACAGTTCTGCATATTATGAGAGGATGCTGGCTAACTCTACTGCAAAGAAAGTCTTCTGAGGTGGGAGTGCCCAATGCTGATGACTTAGGGCACACTCTTCAAGTTATCCCAGAAATGTCCATTGACCTTGTAGACTTCAGGCTTGTTGGGCAGTGTGTGAAGCCCTTGCTGCTCCAAACCCCTCCCTCCTCCCAGGACCCAGCTAAGGATGTGTGCCTGCAACTCAGAGAGCAGACAGTGTACTTATCCCACTCTCTCACTGTGTGTGTGTGTGTGTGTGTGTGTGTGTGTGTGTGTGTGTGCTTTACCATCTGTATGACAAATGTACAGTGGTGAGTATGATGGGGTTCTTGAGAAAAAGGCTAAGAAAAAATTCTTGAAAGTCTTTGGTGCAAGAAAAGTGATTTTATTAAAGCACAAGGGCAGGATCTGTGGGCAGAAAGAACTGCACTGGGGTTGTGAGGAGTGACTGATTGTATACTTTTAAGTTAGTGGGGGTTAGGGATAGTGTTAAGTCACTTAGGAATTTGAACACAAGACTTTCAGGACCTTGAGAGGCTAGCTACTGTTAAAATAAAATTACTTTTAGTCTTTGATAAAACAAAAACATTAAGGAGGTAAGGCAGCCATGAGTTGCTTGAGCAAGGTCACACTCTGCATGTTTCAGTTGTCTATTAGTGGGCTGCAAGCTGTAAGGAGATTTAATTCAAGCTACATTTTTGTTGCCTTTGTTTCCCTCATCAGGTTCATGCTGGCTGACAGGCACGGGACTTTCAGTCTGAGCTTTTGGAAAACAACAAAGGAAGTTATGTAATGAGGAAAGCTCAGGGGGCCATGCTTTGGGCTGAGCGGGGTGGAGGGAGCAAGCAATGAGAAATTAGCAAATCCATTCTTTCTGCCCCTGAATAGTACAGAGCAAAATCCATCTTTGTTAATAATTGTCTCTTCTTTCATATGTCAATCCACACAACTGACTAGCTTCCTTTGTAAGGAGTCATTTGCTGGTGTATGAGAACATGGCAAAGGCCAAGAAGACTTGGTCCCTAAACTCCAGGGGCCAGAATTATAGATGAAAATAGAGCCACATAAAGACATACACAAATGTGTCCCTATGAGACATTTATATAAGTTCAAACTATGAGGGGCAACTTGAAGAGTGAGAAGGAAGATATTTATACACAAAGAGAGGTAGAGTTCACCCATGAAGATACTGGAAGAAGGAGTTATGAGCAGGGTCTTGGGGAAAGAGCATGGATTGGCAGAGAGAAGAGGTGGGTAGAATGCCATGTGAAAAAGCATGATGGCAGCAGGTGCTGACTGGTGAAGATTAGGGGCCAAAAATAAAAGGAGAGAAGTCTGAGAGGTGGAGATAGAGGTGACACACATTTCTGCATGGACTCTGAAGATGAAGGAAAACAGATTTTTTTCAAACTAAGGAGAAGACATGACTCCCCATCCTTCCCAAGCCTGCCTCTGTGCTCACAAATTCATCATAAGCCCCTCTTACTGTCATTTCTTTTGCTGTCTTTCCTGGGAAGAGGAGGATTAATTCATCTCATTGTGTATTCAGCAATACTTTTTGTTGCATCTCCTCCAGTGCCCCAATGTGGTGTTGGAGAGTGGCCTTTGTGCTGTGGAGGGGATTCTCTGGCCCACCCCCAAGTTCCCTTAGACAACCTCCTGGTGAGGGCCAGGGTACACCAAAGAGAACTGGTTTAAATGAACTGATGGAGAAGCTCTAAGGAGGTGGGTTCTTCACTGTCTAAGGGCAGGTGGAAGTTCTTCCCTCCCCACTTACAGCCTCCGGGAGTACAGAGGTCATTCTTTTTTTGGATACAGGCCTTTATGTGCTTCCCAAGGACTTCAAATTGAGGTACCCATATGCAGCCGGTGGATGGGGCACGGGGCCCTGTCCTTGCTGGAGATGCACCCTGATGTGCAGGGAGTAGCAGGTGATGTCTGCCTTCCACATCTCAGCAGGGCTGTATCCAGAGTCACACAAGTGGACTCTGCCTGTGGCCTTGGCATTTCTGCTGTGACAGTTCCTTTTTTCCCCAGGCACTGTGGAGGACCCCAGGGGAAGGACAATAAAAAGGTCAAGATAAATGTTGCCAAATAGCCTGTCAGTGTGGTCACCATTTTTGTTCTCTAGCCTGAATCAATTCACGTCCTTTCAACTTCAAAATAGCTCTTGGCTGTCCATAGAGCAATGTTCCGTTTCACCAATGTTCCGTTTCACCGTGTGACAGGAAAGATCCTTTGCAACTTGATCCCATCTATTTTTTTTTTTACTTTAAGTTTTTACTTTAGTTCCAGTTTGTTAACATACAGTGTTACACTAATTTCAGTTGGACAATATAGCATTTCAAAGTTTCCATGCAATACCAGCTGCTCATCATCACAAGTGCACTTTTTTTTAAGGTTTATTCATTTTTCAGAGAGAGACAGAGTGTGAGTGGGGGAGGGGCAGAAAGAGAGGGAGACAGAGAATCTGAAACAGGCTCCAGGCTCCGAGCTGTCAGTACAGAGCCCAATCCGGGGCCGAACTCACATGGACAGCGAGATCATGACCCGAGCCGAAGTCGGAGGCTCAACTGACTGAGCCACCCAGGCGCCCCTTAGGTACACCTCTCCTCTGGTAACCATCAGATTGTTCTCTACAGTTAAGAATCTGTTTCTTGCTTTGATTCTCTCTCTCTCATTTTTTCCCTTTGCTTGTTTGTTTTGTTTTTAAATTCCACATATGAGCTAAATCATATTACTTTGCTTCATATTTTTTGGTCAGCCTTCCCTTCTACTGCTGAGTTTCATAAACTGTCAGAGCAAGCCCATAGCCTTTTCCTACCCACACATGCTAACCACCTCTTTCCACTCAGAATGTCTGTTCCCTTCCCCTTGTCTTCATCATTATTTTGCTCCTGCTCCTGATCTTGTTTAGTGTTGATTTTATGTTTAATCTATTCCTGAGCTCTCCTCTATTTCTCCAGCTCCAGGGACATGGACCCACCATTTGAGCTTGCTGCACAGTCCCTTTGCCATCCTAGGACATTTTTATGCATGCATAAGCCTATGATGCATGCAGCAGCCTGCCTGCACATGGAATGTCACCGTCAGCTCACTTCCACTGTTCTCACTTCCACTTACTCAAAGCCCTGGCTCCTGCACAGGCCCCTCCCCAAACATCAGGCATTTCTGGGAGTCCTTGAGAGCATCCTGCCTGTACTGGAGGTACCCTATGTCCCAGCTCTGACCTGCCCCTTAGGAAAGATATCAGGAAGGCGTACATCCAGGTGGCTGCACTGTGGCCTATGGTAATGGGGTAGGGTGAGGTATGTTTGCTTCTTCTTTGTTGAGCTCCACTCCATTGGAGAAATCCCAGTTCAGTGCCCAGAGAAATCCCAGTTCCAGAAATCCTTGGAAATCTAGTTCCAAGTTGTATGTGAAAAGCTCTTGCAGGTTTTACTTATGGCAACTTCTCCAAGTCTATCTTCTTTACTGCCCTTGCCATGCAGAGAAGGGTATAGCTGGTTAAGAGTTGGACACCAGCCATTAGTGCATAGTCCAGTCCAGTCTCTGTATCTTTGTGCCATTGAGCAGAGAGGGGCTAGCTGAGGATGGCCATCTTCTCTCCGTGGGGCCCCAAAAATCTCAGGCAACCAGCTGGAGTATTTTCTCCCTGCTCTGAGTCTCTGCAATTCACGGTCTCTGCAAAGCTTCCAGCTACCTTTCCCCTCCTTCTAAGACCTTAGGGGGATATTGTCTATGGAAATTCAATTCATGATTTTTCTCACAGAGACAGGATGTGACAGAGACTTCCTCGTTTTGTTCTCTCTATCTTTTTATATAGCAAAGAGAAGAGCAAGCAGCATGCATATTAAGGTAGAAGGTGGTGGGTGGGTAATTCTGTCACAGATGAGTTGGTCCCCTGAACTTAGCTACCAGCTCATGTCCAGGGGACCTTAGTATCTGAGACCAAGACATTTTACTACAGTCATGTCTTTTGCAGGGAGCTAAGATCACCAGGAATCATCTGCCATTCCAGACCCCTTGCTGCTTCCTGCCAGGTATGTGGCTCATTCTCAACACCTATCTAAACCCCCACCTTCCAGAAATGGAAAGAAGAAAATGATGGCTTTGAAGAGAGGACAAGATGAGTTGACACCATCTTATAGACTGAACCTGGCTGCAGGATGGGTTGTTTCAAGTGTGGCTAAGAGGAGATATTCATTCAGGCAGGTCCACCTGAGGAGGTAGGATTCTGATGGTCTCCATTCCCCCCTCCAGCCTCCCTAAGGTCCTTTCTTGGGTCAGTTCATCTACCTTGGAGACAAGGGGTGGAAATCTTGTGGTTCAATTGAAATCAAACCAGAGTAAGCCAGTGAGCATTAATTGACAGCTTGTGGAGGGCAAAACATTGCAGTGGGTACTGGAGGGGGAGAGGGTGGGAGAGTACTCTACCCCTCAAGGTGTACAGACTGAGATGCAGGAATGGGAGAAGGACAAACACACTGCTGTTACACAGCCCAAGCTCATGGGAGTGGTAAAAGTAAAAAATAATCTTTAAAGAGATACTTAAGAGCTGAGGGAATGCAAACTAAGAGAACATCAAGTATTGTTTAGGAATTGGAGATGCAGAAAGAGACTGGAATGGGGTTTGGGTGAGGCCAGGGAGAAAATGAGAAGAAAAGAAGGAAGGGGAGAAATGGGCTGCCTCCCTGGGTGGAGGGTGGTGGCATTTCTTTATCTTCAGTGTGTGCAACCCTTACTCCTCCAAGTGTATTCAGGAGACATCCCAGAAGATCCAGGAGAATATAAAGAATATGCCCCACCTGCAAAGATTAGCTCCATTCCAAGACTCTTTCTGGCTGTCTTTCTCTTTCCTGGGTCCTCAATCTTCCTCCGATATCCTATGTCTCCAGACTCTGTCCCAAGCAAAACCTCCTCACCAGAAATAGTCTGCAATCTATACTGTGGTGTGAATAGCTGAGATCCGAAAGTGTCTCCCCTCACAGGGTACTTGCACTCCTGTGAGGATTAGAGCATTTAAGGTGGACAGTGAGTTCAGAAAAGGCGAACTTCAGGCAGCAGGTGGGAAGAAGTGGGGCCCTTTAGGGAGCATTCAGCTCCTCTGAAGTTCCTTCAGGAAATCACCAGTCTTCCTCCAATTTAAGGCTTTTCAATGCCTTGTGCATTGGGAGCAAAGTGATCACAGGGCATGTCCCTTCTGTCCAAGAAGATGCTTTTGGCAAGGTCTGAGGAAGACTCCAGTTTTGAGTTGTTTTATGAGTAGTGGGAGATTTGGGGTTTTATTCATTAGTTGCTTGGTTGCTCATGCTTGGTTGCTTGGTCTTGTGGCTGACACCTGGGGACTCAGTCTGCTTCCTCACTGCATGTGAGCTGCTGTGAGTGCTGTAGTCAGGTGGTCCCTAACAGGAGCCATGTTCCGGGGCACAGGAAAACTGAGGGTGCATCCAGCCCTGGCAAACAACACAGCTGGTGAGGAATCTGTATCCAGACAAGTGAGGGCTTGTCTCCCCCCAATTCTACCACCTCCTAGCTGTGTGTGAAGGCATATTGCCTAGACTTCTTGTGCTTCAGTTAACTTGTCTTTGACTCAGACTTATTAGTGATAATAATAATAATAATAATAATACTCCTTGTGTAGGTAAGTGCTTGGTAGATAGTAAGTGTTCAGTTCATATTAGTTTTTATTATGGTGCACATGTATGCCTGTGTGTGTGTGTGTGTGTGTGTGTGTGTGTGTGTGTATGACCTCCTTCCCCTGTAGCCTTAGTGATGGAATTCACATGGGTGTATCACAACAGAGAACTGTGGTCACATTAGTCATTCTTGGGCCTGGAACACTGACTGCCCCCCAAGAGGTAGGGAAAGCAGGGCATGTGCTCCTCCTCTGAGGCCCACCTGCCCATAACTATGAGCCTAATGCTCTGTCTCTGTGTGGTAGGAGAACCCGAGTTACCACCTGACACAAGTCTTGACTGATTCCTCAAAATCTGACTCATCTAAATGGATCCATAAATAGTCTATGAGCCCCTCATGTTTTGCAAAGTACTAGCTGGTGCTGATATACCTTCATTGCTTTGCCTTCATGGGGTTCTATCTTGAGAGTCCAGGAAACACTGAGCAATAAAGTACAAGAGAAGGGAACAGGGAGAGGGAGAGAAAATGCAAAGCCAGGGTGATCTTCCTGTTCTGGAATCCTTTGCTGCCAGTTTATTGTCATCACCAAAAGGGGAAGAGGCTGGTCTGGCAAGAGCCTGGACCTCAGCCCACAGCCCCCATTTATGCTAGCTATTCTATAACTAGTGATTCCAATAGCTACTGGCCATGAAAATAGTCCAGCCCTCTCTGGGGGATCTAACATTCCCTGCTGAAGGTTCCCTTTTGAAGCATTAATGGAGCTGTTCCAACTTACCCTTCTGCCTGCCCACCTGCATGTGAGCTCCAGGAGGGGAGGGCTTCACAGGCCATTGCCCACTCACTGTTGTATTCCCATTGGTTGGGTCCTTCCAGTTCAGGGATTTCCCTCTCCCCCCAACTTACACACACCATTAACTTGCTTATATACCTCCTCTGACCACTCCTCTGCTATAGGATCCAGCAGCTTTTAAAGTCTTTACTTTACACCCTGATGATGCTATTGCTGTGTGGGTAGTGTTTTGCAGCCACAAGACACCAAGAACATGTTTTCAGGAGAAGGAGAATAAAGCAAAGGGGTGGGGTGGCAGAAAAAGGAGAAGGGGAGACTGGGGGGCTGAAGAATGCTTCCTTCCCCTTGCGGGTATTATGATGGAGTGAAAGGAGAAGGGTGCAGTCTCTAAAAGAAGATGGAGAACAAGAAGTTTGGAAGGTGGAGGCAGAGAGAGAGGAGGTGCTGGATTTTATTTATTAAAGAGCATCTAGCCCTCCTATGGAAGGCTTAATGACCCCTGAGTCAGCATTGGTTTCTTCCATTGTTCAGGCAAAGAAATCAAGGTTCAGCCAGCTATAGAACCTGCCTAAAGTCCCACCACTAAACTGAGGAGAGATGTGGAAAGGCTTGTATGTCTCCCAAGATGTATGGGCTGCCCACACTCACTGGCTATCAGACTGTGAAATGTTACCACAGGTCCCATGGGAGTTTCAGGACTGAAAGGGGACATCCCTTGCCTATGCTAGGGCTGAGTCTATTGGATCCCTAATGGGGGTGTGGCTAGATGGGATGACTCCATTAATGTGGCCTAGAAGACACGTCTTTCAGGGACAGAGACAGTCACCAGCTGACCTCATGGAGGCTTCACTTGAGGTTTTAGGACTGGAGGAAGGTGTCTTAGCTGTGGTTGGAGCTGTCAGGCTGCTGTCAGGCATGCATCCCACTTCTGAACAATCAGAACTCTGTTTGTTCCTCTGTTTGTGGACCTGATGTTCTAGGACAAAGGGAAGTAGGGCAGGGAGAATGAAAATGCCTCTGAGAGTCCTTATAGATTTCCTTTTGTTTGGGGAAAGTCACTCAGTCCCAGCTGAGCCCACACACAATGTGTGGCTCTATTCCTGACTCTAAACAATGAAAACCTGAGAAGCTGCTTCCTCTGGGACCCTTTGGCCTTGCCTCCTTGCAGCTCCATGAATCCAAGCACGGCCAGGAACACCACTAGCAGTGATATCTGGTAAAATTAGAAACAGCTCTCACATCCGGCTATGGTTTAAAAGAAGCTAAGCACTGGGATTAATAAGAACTATTATAAAAAGTAATTATAAAAAATAATTGAGGCAGCAACAGACCTCAGGCCTGCTGGGCTGTGTTCCAGCTCCTCTGCATCCATTCCAGCATCTCTTTGTTCCTCTCCAGGTGGCCCCACTGCCAAGAAGAAATGGTGGATTTCCCAGTCTTGCCAGACTTCTCCCAGCAAGTACCTCTGTCCAACAATCTCTTCTTATTCACACATCTCCTTCTTCTTCTTTGGCCTGGAGAGATGAACTCAGGTAGTGTGTCAAACTTGCAGCCCAGCCAGCCAGGCCATGCGCACCTCTACTTCTGCCCACCCCTCCTGCCAGGTGCTTCCAGAGCTGAAATCCATACCCTACCAGGCCATGCCAAGTGCTCCACTCCCACATATAAGCCATAGCTTCTGAAGGGCAGAAAGGACCTCAGGCTTAACAGCTCTCATGAAAGAAGCAGCCAACAGAGATGATACACTAATTATGCAAACATAATTCTCGAATTCCCTGAGCTGGAAACCAGGGATACCAAAATGATGAGGCACATCCCAGGTCCTTAAGAAGGTCAAGGGAGGGGGACAGATGTGACATAAAATCTGTTCAGGGATGTGAACGAGGCTGCAAGAGAAACATACCCAAAGATTTGTGAGCACAGGTAAGAGACAAACCTGTCTTTTCCAAAAAGCCAAGAAGAACCCTAGAGAGAAGGTACTGTTTGAGTGGACCCTTTAAGGACATATATTTTTCAAGAAGATGACAGATGGAGTGTTAACTGAGGCAGGCCATGCCCCAAGGAGAGGGCCAGCCATCAGGTGTGGGTGAAGAGACAACTTGAGGGAATCTGAAAAGGGAAGCTAGTAGGAAGTGTGTTAGGGCTATACCCAGAGGGCAGGAAGGAGTCTCAAATGGGGCAAACAAAAAAAGTCACCACTATATTCTATGAGCAAAGTGAAGGATGGGAAGGATCCATGAAGGGAGAGCTTTGGGATTGGGTTTTAGCTGAGCTTCAAAGGAAGAAAAAGAGGTATGAGAAAAGGTGAAGCCAGAAAGAAGAGTGAGGGCATGCTGAGTGGCAGGAAACAATATGCAAAGGGACTGCTACAGGAATGGCAACTCTCATGGAAATTTCAAAAAACAGGGAGTAAAGGAACCACATGGAGACACCATTTACGAGGGTGATCAAATTAAAAAATTCTAATAAATAAAAATCTTGAAGGCAAGATTTGGCCTTTAGATAGAAAAATCCATGAAGCAAGGAGCCCCCCATAGATTATTTTAATACCTTTTGTTATTAGAGAAGCTGTACATGTGCATTATAAAAATTTAGAAAATCAGAGAAGAAAAAGATAAGAAAACATCTATTCCCATCATGCAGAAATTATCACCACCAACCATTTGGTATATCTCATTTCAGGCTTTTTTTTTTCCTGCAAATGTTTTTATGCAAACATGTCACTTTTTAATCAAATAAAAGAGTAGTGTACATATGGTTCTGAAACTTGCCTCTTTTTTTTTTGGTCAAAGATTTCTTTTCATGTAATGTCCTGGCTATATTTACATAACTGTCCCCAAAGCAACATTTGCAAATGGTTGGTTCAAACAAATTACCACTCCAGCACCACACATTGTATCTGGTTGTAATATCCCTTGTGTATATTTTAACTTGGCATATTTGTGACAATTATTTCTTCAAGAAGCCAAAACCATTGTTCTGTAAAGTGTCTTACTTTTGTCATTTGAGTTTTTTACTATAGATTCCTGAGCTGCAAAGGAATGTGATAAAAATTTATCTTTGATGAGAACTGATTTGGGCTGTTTTTCTGGCTTCTCATCCTAGAGGAGGTCAGTGTGGTAGGCCCTGGGGAATCCATCCTGGCACTTGTGGGGGAAGAAGTGGAGTTCTCATGCCACTTGTCACCATACCTGGATGCTGAGGATATGGAGATCCGCTGGTTCCGGAGTCGGACCTCTGAAGTGGTCCACCTGTACCAGGGGCGGCAGGAGCTCTATAGCCAGCAGATGATGCAGTTCCAGAACAGGACCAAACTCTTCAAAGATGATATCATGGATGGTAGTGTGAACCTGCAACTCCTTGGCATCATTCCTGCTGATGAGGGCCTGTATGGGTGCCGTTTCCTCTCCAGCAACTTCTCTAGGGAAGCAGTCTGGGAGCTGGAGGTAGCAGGTATGTGACCTAGCCAAGCCCCAGTAGGAGAGACAGAGAAAGGGGTCCATTTGGACAGATTTGCTTTGCTCAAGAGTAGACAGAGAAACATGGAGAAAGGGAAAATATATCTAATTTAAAAAAACTATTAAAAAGAAAGATTCATTAGCAAATGAACAAAGTAAATGTTCACAAAAAATATATACAAATGACCCTTAAACATATAAAAAGATGATCACCTTTACTCATCATGAAAGAAAGGTAAATTAAAGCTACCCTGCTGCGCAATATTTTACCTCAGAGATTGGCAAAAATTCAACAGTTTGACCATACAGGGGAAGCAGGCCTTCTGCTCTGTACCCTGATGATGAAGTTGAAAGCAAAACTCCAGTGCAGGGGGATTTGGCAATAGTTAACAGGATAGCTTGCACATCTACCGTTTAAACTGCAACCCCATCTCTAGGAGTTTACCCTGAAGATAAACCTCCTACAACTCCAATATGAAAAAGGCATACATATAAATTTAATCTTTGTAACATCATTTGTAATTGTACAACAGTGGAAACTACCTTAGTATCTAAGCGTAGGTGTTGACTATGTCACACATTGGAATGATCCACAGTATGCAGCTGAAAAAATGGGGAGGAGCTCTATGAACTGATGTGGAGTGACTTCTAGGTTGTTGGCAAGAGAAAAAAACAGGTGCAAAAGAGTTCTATAGCATTTAAACTTTTGTGGGAGGAAAAATAAACATTGCACAAAAGGAACACAGGAAGGATACACTAGGAACTAATGAAATTGGTTACCTGAGAGGGGGGAAGGTGCAATGGATGGAAAGGATGGAGAAAGGTTTGGGGCTTTCCTGGTACACATTTTTTACAGTATGGCTCTTTAAATATGTTAATGTATTTTTATTTTTTTAATACGAAATTTATTGTCAAATTGGTTTCCATACAACACCCAGTGCTCATCCCAACAGGTGCCCTCCTCAATGCCCATCACCCATCCTCCCCTCCATCCCACCCCCCATCAACCCTCAGTTTATTTTCAGTTTTTAAGAGTCTTTTATGGTTTGGCTCCCTCTCTCTCCAACTTTTTTTTCCCCTTCCCCTCCCCAATGGTCTTCTGTTAGGTTTCTCAGGATCCACATAACAGTGAAAATATATGTTGTCTGTCTTTCTCTGTATGACTTATTTCACTTAGCATAACATTCTCCAGTTCCATACATGTTGCTACAAAAGGCCATATTTCATTCTTTCTCATTGCCAAGTAGTATTCCATTGTGTATATAAACCACAATTTCTTTATCCATTCATCAGTTGATGGACATTTAGGCTCTTTCCATAATTTGCCTATTGTTGAAAGTGCTGCTGTAAACATTGGGGTACAAGTGCCCCTGTGCATCAGCACTCCTGTATCCCTTGGGTAAATTACTAGCAGTGTTTTTGCTGGTTAATAGGGTAGATCTGTTTTTAATTTTTTGAGGAACCTCCACACTGTTTTCCAGAGCGGCTGCACCAGTTTGCATTCCCACCAACAGTGCAAGAGGGTTCCTGTTTCTCCACATCCTCTCCAGCATCTATAGTCTCCTGATTTGTTCATTTTAGCCATTCTGACTGGCGTGAGGTGGTATCTGAGTGTGGTTTTGATTTGTATTTCCCTGATGAGGAGCGATGTTGAGCAACTTTTCATGTGTCTGTTGGCCACCTGGATGTCTTCTTTAGAGAAGTGTCTATTCATGTTTTCTGCCCATTTCTTCACTGGATTATTTGTTTTTTGGGTGTGGAGTTTGGTGAGTTCTTTATAGATTTTGGATACTATCCCTTTTTCCAATAAGTGATTTGCAAATATCTTTTCCCATTCTGTTGGTTGCCTTTTAGTTTTGTTGATTGTTTCCTTTGCAGTGCAGAAGCTTTTAATCTTCATGAGGTCCCAATAGTTCATTTTTGCTTTTAATTCCCTTGCCTTTGGAGATGTGTCGAGTAAGAAGTTGCGGCGGCTGAGGTCAGAGAGGTTTTTTCCTGCTTCCTCCTCTAGGGTTTTGATGGTTTCCTGTCTCACATTCAGGTCCTTTTTCCATTTTGAGTTTATTTTTGTGAATGATGTAAGAAAGTGGTCTAGTTTCATTCTTCTGCATGTTGCTAAACATATTAATGTTTTGCATATTCAAAATATAAAGCTAGCTCCTCAGGATGGAGAAATAAAGGAGTGCATGTGACACAGGCACTTGAATGCTGGTGGGATTCAAGAGACACAGAGGGCAATATATTGAAATTTGGGGTGGGATTTTTCTTTACTTCAAGGGACTGTCCCTTATGTAATATGACTAAATTCCAGCAGCTCTTCTTGGCCAAATAGCCCCCCATAATATTTCCAAATGTCCTTCATGGGTACTACTGTTCCCATGTCCCACATGCCACCACAAATTTAAAATATCATTTATGGGCACCTGGGTGGCTAAGTAGGTTAATAATCCAACTCTTGATTTCAGCTCAGGTCATGATATCATGGTTTGTGGGATCAAGCCCCATATGGGGCTCTACGCTGACAACATGAAGCCTATTTGGAATTCTCTCCCTCTCTGTCTGCCCCTCCCCAACTTGCACATGCAGATACTCTGTCTCTCAAAATAAATAAATAAATAAATAAACTTAAAAATAAACTGTAATTTACATTCCACAGGTGGGGGCTGTGAGCCCACATGTGTGTTAGGAGCAGTCACAGTCATGATTCCTTATAATGACTGCAGATGGTGAGTGGTGGCATGAACATCATGTACAACTTCTGGGAAGGAGCCTGATCTTTCCCACTCTTCTTGCTTTTCCCAGGGATGGGCTCAGACCCTCACATCTCCCTTGAGGGCTTCAAGGAGGGAGGCATTCAGCTGAAGTGCAGTTCCAGTGGCTGGTACCCCAAGCCCCAGGCTCAGTGGAAAGATCATAAAGGACAGTGCCTGCCTCCAAAGATGGAAGCCATAGTCCAGGATTCCAAGGGCCTGTTCAATCTGGAAACATCTGTGATTGTTCAAGGGGGTGCCCATAGTAATGTGTCCTGCTCCATCCAGAACTCTCTCCTGATACAGAAGAAAGAGTTCACCATCCAGATAGCAGGTCAGTTGGTGCCAACTAACCCTCATCTTCTTACTCATCATGTCCTCCCTGTATGTTCCAAAGGCCATCTAAAAGGGCACAGTGGTACTGGGGCCTGGCTGTCTATGGGGTGGGCTGGTCTTGACACCTGAAAAATTAGTGATTTGGATATCAGGAACCTACTAAGAGTACAACAGCTACCACTCACCCAAACAGTATGCAGGGGAGGCCCCAGGGAACCAACTTATGCACTAAAGTCCATGTCCTGAAATCCAGAAACTATTAATTAGAGGTCATCATTAGATCCCATGTGTTCCTAATTTCATCCCTTAAATGATATTTATTGAGAGCCCTCAATAAATATCGAACTCTTGCACTCAGGTTCACATTCCTGTGGAGAAAATACAAATAAAAGAGTGAATTATATTGTAAGGTTAGAGGATGTTAGGTGCTAAAAGAAGTATTTTAGGTGCTGTACAGAAAATGAAGCAGGGAAGTGTGCTAGGGCATGGTAGGGTGTGTATGTGGATTTAAAAGTGGTAGGTCAGGGAAGAAGATGGTTAGGCAATGAGCTGAAGGGTGAGGCCATTATCTAGGGCCAAAATTTTATTATAAGGCACACACTGAAGGTTTTAATTTTCATGACCAATTGTTTTAAGTCTTGAGGATAAACCTAACCTATGGAGCATTTTTCACATTGGTATAAATAAAGTTATATTACAGTTGACCTTAAACAATTCAGTGGGTTAAGAGTGCTGACCACTTTTGACTCCCCAAAACTTAATTATTAATAATCTACTGTTGACTGGCAGCCTTATTTATAACACAAATAGGAGCTTAACATACATTTTGTATGTTATATGTATTATATGCTGTATTCTGACAATCAAGTAAGCTAGAAAAAAGAAAATGTTATTAAGAAACCCATAAGGAAGAGAGGAACTTGGGAAAATGACAGAGTTGGAAGACCCTGAACTCATCCCATCCCACATTTACAACTAAATATCATCCACATCCAAGTCAACAAACTAGAGAGTGATCTGAAGACTTGCAGAACAAACTCCACAATTAAATATAGAGAAGAAGCTGCAGCTGAAAGGTTAGGAAGGTCAAAAATGCAAAGGGAGGTTACCCACATAGAGAGGGCAGAGAAACAAGCCCTCACACCAGGGATTTCACATGGGGAAGACTATTCCCCATAATGTTTGTCATTAAAAACTGGAGAGGCTGAATTCTGTGAGTTTGTAAAAACAGTGGGATTTGGAGCCTGGAGCTTTAAAAGTCAGCTGACTTGGCATTGGGTGAGCTGGGAGTGTGACAGCTGGGTCACTTAAAAAGACAGCAGCCTGCACACAGAGGCAACATAAAAAAAGGCAGTTGACACAAAGTTGGGGTAAACAGAGGTCAGATCTGTTCATTGTGATTTCAGAGAGTGTTGGGGGAATTCTCCAAAAATGAGGGAGCTAGCAGGCACATTTTTCTCCACCACCTCCCAGCATAAACACAGAGCCATCTGTGGGAGGTGAGGCTGCACAGACACTTGTAGTCTTGACCCAGAGTTCAGGGCAAATTTTGTTAAAGCTGCACATGCATCCCACCCAGCTGACAGGTGCACAGCTCCACAGCCTACCCTGCCCAGCTGCAGTGCAGTGCCCAGCCCTGCACCACGAGCCACCATCATGGGCCATACTCAGTCACACTCAGCCATCATTGAGTGCTGTGACCAGCCTCATTTCCCTACCAGCCTGGTGAAAGCCCCCAGCTGTCACAGTGTTCCGGGGGATCTGGCATACGAGAAGTGGTCCAATGCAAATATTGCTAACACCTCCACCACACTCGCAAGTGTCCATCACAGCTAGCATGCCTAGGTCCCACTAATGTCACAGAGAGCAAGCATAGCCCACAACAAGAGAAGAGTGAGGGAAGACAACTACATTGAAAAGAAAACTGACTCAAACTCAACAGTAAGGCATAAGCAAAACACATAGGATGTTTTCCTGAAGTGCCTGTTCCTTGTAAACAGGGGACACTGTACTGCAGGGCACTCCAGGATCGATTCTTCATAAAGTAACTTTCAAAAGCAGAAAACATAGCTAACTTTCTTAACATGGAGAAACAGACAAAATGACAGAGAAAATTATCACAAAGAGATCTAAGTGAAACAGAAATAAGTAACATACCTGATAGATAAATTAAAGCAATAACCATAAGGATAATCACTGGACTTGAGAAAAGACTGAAGGACATTACTGATCAAGACGGGTCATGATCTCATAGTCTATGGGTTCAAACCCCGCATTGGGCTTTGTGCTGACAGCTCAGAGCCTGAAGCCTGCTTCAGATTCTGTCTCTGTCTCTGTCTCTGTCTCTGTCTCTCTCTGCCCCTCCCCCGCTCATGCTCTGTCTCTTTCTCTCAAAAATAAATAAAAATTAAAAAACTTTTTTAGAAATAAAAAATAAATTTGCAAAATATAGTGATAAAAAGTCTTAAAAGCACCAAGACAAAAGAAGTCAATAACTTACAAGGGAAAGCCCATAAGGTTAGCAGATTTTTTAATAGAAACATTGCAAGCCAAAAGGAAATGATGATTATTCAAAGTGCTGAATGGGAAAAATCTGCAGCCAAGAATATACTATCTAGCAAGGCTATCATTAAGAATAGAAGGAAAGATAAAGAGTTTCCCAGACAAACAAAAACTTAAGGAGTTAATGACCTACTAAACCAGCCCTGGGAGATATATTAAAAGGGACTCTTTGTGTGGAAAGAAGAGATCAAAAATGACAGTCAGTATAAAGGTAGGAAACACAAAAGCAGTAAAATGAATATTGCACACTAATGCAAATGATTATACAAAATCAACTTTTTTGAATATCATACATAGTATATTAATAAGGCCATAACTTTTTAAAGTTTTTACTTTAATTCCAGTTAGTTAACATACAGTGTTATATTAGTTTCAAGTGTACAACATAGTGATTCAACAATTCCAAACATCACCCAGTGATGATGTACTTATCATGACAAGTGCACTCCTTAATCCCCATCACCTATTTAACCATCCTTCACCCAACCTCCCCTCTGGTAACCATTAGTTTGTTCTCTATAGTTAAGAGTTTGTTTCTTGGTTTGCCTCTCTCTCTCTTCTTTTCCCTTTGTTCCTTTGTTTTGTTTTTTAATTTCCACACATGAGTGAAATCATATGGTATTTTTCTTTCTCTGACTAATTTATTTCAATTTTTTTTCTTTTTTTTTTCTTTTTTTTTTTCTTTTTTTTTCAACGTTTTTTATTTATCTTTGGGACAGAGAGAGACAGAGCATGAACGGGGGAGGGGCAGAGAGAGAGGGAGACACAGAATTGGAAACAGGCTCCAGGCTCTGAGCCATCAGCCCAAAGCCCGACGCGGGGCTCGAACTCACGGACCGCGAGATCTGACCTGGCTGAAGTCTGGCGCTTAACCGACTGCGCCACCCAGGCGCCCCATCTGACTAATTTATTTCACCTAGCATAAAACTCTCTAGCTCCATCTATGTCTTTGCAAATAGCAAGATTTCATCCTTTTTATGGCAGAGTAATATTCCATTGTATATGTATACATGTTTTCTCTATCCATTCATCAGACAATGGACACTTGGGCTGCTTCCATATCTTGGCTATTGTTGATAATACTGCAATAAACATACGGGTGCATGTAATCCCTTTGAATTCTGTTTTTGTATCCTTGGGTAAATATCTAATTGTGAGTTGCTGGATCATAAGGTAGTTCTATTTTTAACTCTTGAGGAAACTCCATGCTGTGAAATAAGCCAGACACCAAGGGACAAATATTGTTTGATTCACTTACAGTGAGGTGACTAGAGTCATCAAATTCATTTAGAGATGGAAGGTAGAATAGGAGTTGCCAGAGACTGGGTTGGGGTGGCTGGTAAATGGGGAGTTAGTATTTAATGAGTAGAATTTCAGTTCGGGAATTTGAAAAGAGTTGTGGAGATGGATGATGATGATGATCCATAACAATGTGAAAGTAACTTAATGCCACTGAATTGTACTCTCAAAAATGGTTAAGATGGTAAATTTTATGTTATACATTTTACCACAATAAAAAAGAAAAATGTATTTTTAAAAAGACCACTGAACTAAAATCATCACTTGAAAAATAATTATCTTTAACAGACACCAAATTATTCCATTAAATTGCCACAAGAATTTTGAAAGAGTTACCTTCCATTTTCCATGTATCTCTTTGCCATCTAGCCCCTGTCTGAGTGGGCCTGGGCCACATCTTGCTTCAGGGCAGAGCCTCCTCAGTGAGCCTGGGGAGGACAAGGGGGAACTGGTAGTCAACCCTTAAGCAATTTTGCTAACATTTCTTCCAAAGGTGTGATGAGAAGTAAAAGCAAGTGTTTGTAAGAAGTTGGCAAAATGAAATGACTTGTGGAGTTGACCCTAGCAGTAGAGAGCAATAATTCACCGTTCTTTGGATACCAACACCTTGGATTTTCAAGTTCTTCAGATATAGGACAATTGTGGAGAGTAGAGGGAGGACAGAGCCATGGTCACAGAAGTTCTAAGCTGGGAGAGTAGGTGGGGTCCATCACTACCTCCCTTCCACATCCTTCAATTTCCTTTTTCCACTAAGCAAGTTCGAGCTGGCCACTATTCCTCAGGGTCCTACCTGGGGAGAGCGTGGTGCGGCCGCTGTCATGATGCCCGTTTTCACAGATTGCTATGGTGCTGCCCAGAAGGTTTAACGCCTGCCAACTTGGAAGGATTTCCGGCACGCTGGGTCCAGAATAGTCCTCTCACTTAGTGTTTAGTGGTGCCTAAAGCGAAACAACTCCTTGTGGGGTGTTTTCCAGATGCATTTTTACCCGGAACCTCACCCTGGAAGAGAGCTTTCCTTGGGTCTCTGGTGGGACTGCCATTCCTCCTGGCTTTTCTCTTGACGCTGGCGCTGTACTTCTTTCAGAAGCAACGTAGGTCCCAAGGTACGGGGCAGGCTGGGGGCCTCCCGCCAGGCTCAGGCTTTGCTGGGAGGAAAGTGGAGGAGGAGGCCCGCGGAGAGGGCACCAAAGAGGTGCGGTCTTGCGAAAACGCGGGGCTGGGGTGGGCCTTGGAAACAGCAGGCGAGTGTGTACCGTTACGTGCACTCCCCTTCTTTCCTCTTTTCAGAAAAGTTGAAGGAGCAGGCTGAGAAGGACAAAGGTAAGCAGGGAAAGAGGCGCGCTCTTTGCCCGCACCCTTAACTAGCTGAAGGTGGTGGGGAGAGGGGGAATTTGCTGGTTCAGGAAGGCGAGTACTTCAGACCCGGGGCGCTTGGAAGTGAGAAACGCGGTGGCGGAGGTTTGCTTTGCCACTTCCCCTGCCACGGAGCCCGCTCCTCCCTCGCGTGTAGCCCATCCTGGTTCCTCAGAACGCACTGGGGCCGAGTCTGTGCTCTTTAGAGAAGTGAAGCCTCAGTGTACATCAATTGAGATGTTCCTCTTTTCTTCGTTTTTTCTCTAGGGAGACTCACAGAAGAGCTGGGTAAGTTCTGGGTACCACGCCCACAGTGAGGCTACCGACTAGTGGGGTAACCCGATGCGTGCGGGGTGGAAGATGTTCAGTAGTTTAGGCTCCCTGTGGAGAGTGATGGACCGCAACAATCTAATTCTAAACCCATCCTTCTGCTCCGCCCACCTCTCCACCCCCAAATAACTCGCGTGCAGCAGTGAAGTATGTTTGACTTCAGACCCGCCCCCAGACAAACCCTGCCAGCCCCTCTCCTGCAAATTATAGGATTCGGTTACAATTCCACCATTAAACGTTCATCTTCCTAGGATATCTTTCTCTTTTTAATGCAAATGACACTGAGAAGGGAGGCACGTTTAATTTGCAGGGAAGTGTGAGTAATTTATCAGATTCACTTTTCTCCCCAAGGAACTCAGCACCATGGGCTGTGTGCCTGAACAGAGGAGGGTAGAGTGAATCCAAAGGAATGGAGAGATGGAGGAGAAGGCCACAATAGGTGTGGGGATTGGGTGGGTGGGTGGGGGGAAGACCTCAGGAACCACCTTGCATGCTGCAATAAAACTCCAGGCAAAATTATGAGGTCCCAGAATCTTGTGTTGTAGTCCACCTAGTCCTGTGGAAGGGCAACTATTGTAAGTAATTAACACGCTGGTCTAAATTAGTGTATAGTGTTGCCTTTCCTAGGAGGATTTACTTTTTAATTTTTTAATTTTACATTTATTTATTTTTGAGAGACAGAGAGCACGAGCAAGGGAGGGGCAGAGAGAGAAGGAGACACAGAATCTGAAGCAGGCTCCAGGCTCTGAGCAAGAGTTCAGCACAGAGCCCGATGTGGGGCTTGAACCCATGAACTGGGTGATAATGAGTTGAGCTGAAGTGAGATGCTCAACTGACTGAGCTACCCAGGCGCCCCTAGGAGGATTTACTTTTTTTTAAAAGTTTTTAATTCCAGTTAGTTAACATACAGTGTTATATTCGTTTCAGGTGTACAATATAGTTATTCAACACATCCATGCATCACCCAATGCTCATACAGACAAGTGCACTCCTTAATCCCCATCACCTATTTAACCCACCCCCGCCGACCTCCCCTCTGTTTGTTCCAGTCTATTTCTTGATTTGTCTTTATCTCTTTCTCTCTTATATTTACCTTTTGCTTGTTTGTTTTATTTCTTAAATTCCACATATGAGTGAAATAACACAGTATTTCTCTTTCTCCGTCTTATTTTGCTTGGCATCATACTCTGCAGCTTCATCTATGTCTTGCAAATGGCAAGATTTCATTCTTTTTATGGCTAAATAATATTACATTACACACACACACACACACACACACACACACACACACACACACCACTTCTTCTTTATCCATTCATCAATTGATGGACATTTGGGCTGCTTCCATGGCTATAGTAAATAATGCTGCAATAATGAGCATTGTATTCTTTGTATTCATTGTATTCATTGTATTCTTCGGATAACTACCTAGCAGTGCAATTACTGGATCATAATTGGTCTATACTTTTAACTTTCTGATAAACTTCCATACTGTTTTCCAGAGTGACTGCACCAGTTTGCATTCCCATCAACAGTGCAAGAGGGTTCCCCTTTCTCCATATCCCTGCCAACACCTGTTGTTTCCTAAGTTGTTGATTTTAGCCATTCTGATAGGTGTGATAGCTCATTGTGGTTTTGATTTGTATTTCCCTGATGATGAGTGATATTGAGAATATTTTCATGTGTCTGTTGGCCATGTCTTGGTCTTCTTTGGAAAAGAATGTCTATTCATGTTTATTTGGTTTGGGGTTGTTGAGTTTTATAAGTTCTTTATAGATTTTGGATACTAATTTGCAAGAAAGTGTGAATAATTTATCAGATTCACAAAACAATCAGTTTTGTTGATTGTTTCCTTCATTGTGAAGATGTTTTTTATTTTGCTGAAGTCCCAATAGTTTATTTTTGCTTTTGTTTTCCTTGCCTTGGGAGATGTATCTACAAAGAAATTGCCGTGGCCAATGTCAAAAATGTTACTACCTGTGTTCTCCTAGGAATTTAATAGTTTCCTGTCTCACATTTAAGTGTTTCAATCATTTTGAATTTACTTTTGTGTATCGTGTAAGAAAGTGGTCCATTTCATTCTTTTGCATGTTGCTGTCTGGTTTTCCCAACACCATTTGTTGAAGACAATGTCTTTTTCCATTGGATATTCTTTCCTGCTTTGTTGAAGATTAACTGACCATATAGTTGTAGGTTCATTTATGAGTTTTCTGTTCTGTTCTATTGATCTATGTGTGTCTATTTTTGTGCCAATACCATACTGTTTTGATTACTACAGCTTCGTAATATAAGGTGAAGTCCAGAATTGTGATTCACCTAGCTTTGCTTTTCCTTTTCAAGATATCTTTGGCTATTCTTCATGGTTTCACACAAAATTTAGTATTGTTTGTACTAGATCTGTGAAAAATGCTGTTGATATTTTGACATGGATTGCATCAAATGTGTAGATTGCTTTGGGTAGTGTAGACATTTTAACAATATTTGTTCTTCCAATCCATGAGTATGAAATGTCTATCCATTTCTTTGTGTCATCTTAAATTTCTTTCATCAGTGTTTTATAGTTTTCAGAATACAGTTCTTTTATCTCTTTGGGTAAGTTTATTTCTAATTATCTTATTAAAAATTTTTTAATGTTTATTTATTTTTGAGAGAGAGAGAGAGAGAGAGAGAGAGAGAGAGACAGAGCATGAGCAGAGGAGGGGCAGAGAGAGAGAGACACACAGAATCGGAAGCAGGCTCCAGGCTCTGGGCTGTCAGCACAGGGCCTGATGTGGGGCTCGAACCCACAAACTGTGAGGTCATGACCTGAGCCGAAGTCGGACACTTAACTGACTGAGCCACCCAGATGCCCCTCTGAGTATCTTATTGATGTTGGCATAATTATAAATGGAACTGATTCCTTAATTTATTTCTGGTGCTTCATTCTTGGTGTATAGAAACGCAACAGGTTTCTATGTGTTGATTTGTTACACTGTGACTTTACTGAATTCTTTTATCAGTTCTAGCAGTTTTTTAGTGGAGTCTTTTGGGTTTTCTATATAGAGTACCATGTCATCTGCAAATAGTAAAGTCTTACTACTTCCTTACCAGTTTGGATTCCCTTTATTTCTTTTTGTTGTCTGATTACTGAGGCTAGGACTTCCAGGATTATGTTAAATAACAGTGCTGAGAGTGGACATCCCTGTCTTGTTCCTGACCGTAGAAGAAAAGTTCTCAATTTTCCCCATTAAGGATGATATTAGCTGTGGATTTTTCATAGATGGCCTTTATTATGTGGAAGCATGTTATCTCTAAACCTATTTTGTTGAGGGTTTTTGTCATGCGTGGATGTTGTACTTTGTCAAATGCTTTTTATGAATCTATTGAAAGGCTGATATGGTTCTTATCTTTTTTCTTATTGATGTGATGTATCACATTGATTGCTTTGTGAATATGGCACCCTTGCAGCCCAGGAATAAATCTCACTTGATCATGGTGAATGATTTTTTAAAAGTACTATTGGATTTGGTTTGCTAGGATTTTGTTGAGGATTTTTGCATCTATGTTCATCAGAGATATTGGCCTGTAGTTCTCCGTCTGTCTCTGTCTCTCTCTCTTTTTTTCCTTGGTGTCTTTATCTGGTTTTGGCATCAAGGTAATACTGCCCTCATGGAATGAATTTGGAAGTTTTCTTTTATATTTTTTGGAACAGTTTGAAAAGAATAGGTATTAACTTTTCTTTTTTTTTTTTTTTACTTTTTTAAAAATATAATTTATTGTCAAGTTAGCTAACATACGGAATATACAGTGTGCTCTTGGCTTCAGAAATAGATTCCCATGATTCATCACCTACATACAACACCCAGTGCTCATCCCAACAAGGGCCTTTCTCAATGCCTATCACCCATTTTACCCTCCACCCTAATCTCTTCCATCAACCCTCAGTTTATTCTCTATATTTAAGGGTCTCTTATGGTTTGGCCCTGTCTCAGTTTGTGGCTATTTTTTTCCTTCCCTTCCCCCCATGGTTTTCTGTTAAGTTTCTCAAATTCCACATATGAGTGAAAACATATGGTATCTGTCTTTCTCTGACTGACTTATTTCACTTAGCATAATACCCTCCAGTTCCATCCATGTTGTTGCAAAAGGTAAGATTTCATTATTTTTTATTGCCAAGTAGTACTCCATTGTATGTATGTATATGCCACATCTTCATTATCCATTCATCAGTTGATAGACATTTGGGCTCTTTCCATAATTTGACTGTTGTTGATAGCACATGATCAGGTGAGATTCATTACTAGGCTGCAGGGCTGGTTCAATATCTGCAAATCAATCAATGTGATACATCACATTAATAGAAGGATATGAACCATATGATCTTATCAATAGATGCAGAAAAAGCATTTGACAAAATACAGTATCCTTTCTTAATGAAAACCTTCAAGAAAGTTGTGATAGAAGGAACATACCTTAACATCATAAAAGCCATATATGAAAGGCCCACAGCTAATACCATCCTCAATGGGGAAAAACTGAGAGCTTTCCCCCTAAGATCAGGAACATGACAAGGATGTCCACTGTCATAACTTTTGTTTAACATAGTGTTGGAAGTCTTAGACTAAGCAATCAGGCAACAAAATGAAATAAAAAGCATCCAAATTGGCAAAGAAGAAGACAAACTTTCACTCTTCACAGGTTACATGATACTCTACCTTTCAGGAAAACCTAAAAGACTGTACCCAAAAACTGCTAGAACTGATACATGAATTCAACAAAGTCTCAAGATGTAAAATCAGTGTACAGAAATCAGTTGCATTTCTGTACACCAACAATGGAGTGACAGAAACAGATATCAAGGGGGGGGCACCTGGGTGGCCCAGTCAGTTAAGCGTTTGACTTCAGCTCAGGTCATGATCTTATGGTTTGTGGGCTCTATCCCCACATCAGGCATGTGCTGATGACTCAGAGTCTGGAGCCTGATTCAGATTCTGTGTCTCCCTCTCTCTCTGTCCCTCCCCTGCTTGCTCTCTGTCTCTCTCTTTCTCAAAAATAAATAAACATTAAAAAAAGAAAGAGATATCAAGGAACCAATTCCATTTACAAATGCATCAAGAACCATAAAATACCTAGGAATAAACCTAGCCAAAGATGTAAAAGATCTGTATCCTGGAAACTATAGAAAACTTATGAAAGAAATTGAAGAAGACACAAAGAAAAGGAAAAGCATTCCATGCTCATGAACAGGAAAAACAAATATTGTTAAAATGTCCATACTACCCAATGCAATCTACACGTTCAGTGCAATCCCAATCAAAATAGCACCAGCATTCTTCTCAGAGCTAGAACAAGCAATCCTAAAATTTGTATGGAACCACAAAAGACCCTGAATAGCCAAAGTAATGTGGAAAAAGAAAACCAAAGCTGGAAGCATCACAATTCCGGATTTTAGCCTGTACTACAAAGCTGTAATCATCAAGACAGTATGGTATTGGCACAAAAAGAGACACATAGACCAATGGAATGGAATAGAGAACCCAGAATTGGACACACAAAAGTATGGCCAAATCAACCCTTCTTTATATGTTTGGTAGAATTCTCCTGTGAAGCCATCTGGTTCTGGACTTCTATTTGTTGGGACTTTTTTTTGATTACTGATTCAATTTCTTTGCTGGTTATTAGTCTGTTCAAATTTTCTATTTCCTTCAGTTTCAGTTTTGGTAGTTTATATATTTCTAGAAATTTATCCATTTCTTCTACGTTGTCCAATTTGTTGTTTGTCCAATTTTTCATTATATTCTCTTATGACTGTATTTCTGTGGTGTTGGTTGTTCTTTCTCTTCTCTCAATTGTGATTTTATTTATTTGAGTCCTTTCTCTTTTTTTCTTGATAAGTCTGGATAAAGAGCTATAAATTTTATGGATTTTTTTTCAAAGAACCAGCTTCTGGTTTTATTAATCTGTTCTATGGTTTTTGTAGTTTCTATATCACCTAATTATTTTCTAATCTTTATTATTTCTTTCCTTCTTTTGGTTTTAGGTTTTGTTTGTTGTTCTTTCTCTAACCTCTTTGGTGCAGGGTTAGGCTGTTTGAGCTTTTTCTTGCTTCATGAGGTAGGTCTGTATTGCTCTCAACTTCCCTCTTAGAACCAGTTTTGCAGTATCCAAGAAGTTTTGGCCCATTGTGGTTTCATTTTCATCTGTTTCCATGTACTTTTTAAATTTCTTCTTTGATTTCTGGTTGACCAGAAATTCATTGTTTAGTATCATGATGTTTAACCTCCATGTATTTGTAGTCTTTCCATATTTTTTTCTTGTGGTTGTTTCCTAGTTTCATAGCATTATGGTCATAAAAGTTGCACGGTATGATTTCAATCTTGAATTTGTTGAGGGTTGTGTTGTGGGCTAATATGTGATCTATTCTGGAGAATATCCTGTGCGGACTTGAAAAGAATGTGTATTACAAAAATAAACTCAAAATGGATGAAAGACCTAAATGTAAGACAGGAAGCCATCAAAATCCTTGAGGAGAAAGCAGGCAAAAACCTCTTTGATCTTGGCCGCAGCAACTTCTTACTCAGCACGTCTATGGAGGCAAGGGAAACAAAAGCAAAAATGAACTACTGGGAACTCAGCAAAATAAAAAGCTTCTGCACAGCAAAGCATAAATAGCAAAATAGAAATAAAAGGAAAAGTTGCAAACTCATTGTATGAAGCCAGCATTAACTTGATTGCAAAACCAAAGACCCCACTAAAAAGGAGAACTACAGACCAAATTCCCTAATGAACATGGATGCTGAGATGTCAGCACAGAGCCCAACATGGGGCTTGAACCCATGAACCATGAGATCATGACCTGAGCTGAAGTCAGATGCTTAACCGACTGAGCCACCTAGATGCCCCTAGATGGGTCTTCCTTTTTAACCATTCTGTCATCTTATGTCTTTTTGTTTTTGTGTTTGTTTAGGTTCAGTTAGTAAACACACGTTGTAATATTAGTTTCAGCTGAAGAATATAGTGATTCAACAGATTCAACACTTCCATACAACACCTGGTGATCATCAAATTAAGTACATTCCCTATTCCCCATCACCTATTTAACCCCTCCTCTATCCATTTCCCCTTGGTAGCCATCAGTTTATTCTCTATAATTGAGATCTGTTTCTTGGTTTGCCTTTATCTCTCTTATTTTTTTCCCTTTCCTTCTTTGTTTTGTTTCTTAAATTCCACACAGGAGTGAAATCATATGGTATACCCTCCACCTCCATCCATGTCATTGCAAATGATTTCACTCTTTTTATGCCTGAGTAATATTCCATTTTATATATACCACATCTTCAAAGATTCATTTTTAGTATTTCTTGCAGAACTTGTTTAGTGGTCATAAGTCCTTTAGTTTTTGTGTGTCTGGGAGATTCTTTTTTTTTTTTTTTATTTTTTTTTTTATTTTTTTTTTATATATGAAATTTATTGTCAAATTGGTTTCCATACAACACCCAGTGCTCATCCCAAAAGGTGCCCTCCTCAATACCCATCACCCACCCTCTCCTCCCTCCCACCCCCCATCAACCCTCAGTTTGCTCTCAGTTCTCAACAGTCTCTTATGCTTTGGCTCTCTCCCACTCTAACCTCTTTTTTTTTTTCCTTCCCCTCCCCCATGGGTTCCTGTTGAGTTTCTCAGGATCCACATAAGAGTGAAACCATATGGTATCTGTCTTTCTCTGTATGGCTTATTTCACTTAGCATCACACTCTCCAGTTCCATCCACGTTGCTACAAAAGGCCATATTTCATTTTTTCTTTATCTCTCCTTCTATTCAAGAAATTCAACTGTGTCTTCTGAATTTGGAAGTAGTGACTTTATGAAGAAGGGGTCCTGGAGTGTCCTGCAGTACATTGTCCCCTCTTCACCACACCTGGCAGTTCATGAGAGTATCCAATATGTGTTGTTTATGTCCTGCTGTTGTGTCTTGAGTCACTTTTCCTTTCAGTGTAGTTGTCTTCTCTAATTAGCTGCCTGTTGTGGGCTGTGCTTGCTCTCTGTGATGTTAGTAGGACCCAGGCAGTTCAACTCTAAGGGGGCATGACTGCTGGGGAACTTGGGAGCTGGGTGACAATGCTAGCAAAGTTTGTGCTGGATCACTAATCCTATGCCAGATGCCCTGAAACACTCCAGGGGCTGGTGGCTATGTTATGGGGTTTCTAGGGGCAAAAGCCTGGGCAAGAGAGTGAGGATGGCTGGGCATGGCTGGTACTTGTGCTCAACAGTGGTTGGGGATGCATGACTGGAGGTGACATGGCTTAACAAAATTTTCCCTGAGCCCAGGATCAAAGCTAGTAAGTTGGTTGGTGTGTGCTAGTTCCCAGGAGAACTTGTGGACATGGCATACTGCCAATGGGTTTTATAGAAAGTGTCTGTGCAGCCCTGTCTCCCATAGGTGGCTCTGTGTTTATGCTGGGGTTTGGGGAAGGAAAATGGCATCTTCCAGCTCTCTCATTTTTGAAGTCCCCTAACATCCTCTGAAACCAGTATGAACAGCTCTGTCTCCTGCTTGTCTCCAGTGTTGTGTAAACTGTGATTTTTATGTTGCCTCTCTGTGTGGGCTGCTGTCTCCTTAATGGCAGTGACCCAACTATCACTCACCCTTGGACTTGCCCAGAACTGAGTCAGCTGACTTTTAAAACTCCAGACTCCAAGTCCCACTGGTTTTACAGACTCAAGGAATTCAGTCCCTCTGGTTTTTAAAACCAAATATTATGGTTTTAAAATATTTTAATTTAAAATAAAATATTTTAAAAATTAAAAAGAAATAAAATATTTAAAATATGGTTCACTCTTCCACATGTGAACACCCTGGTGTGAGGGCCCATTTCTCTGCTCTTTCCATGTGTGCAGCTCCTTCTCTCCTACAGACAGCCTCCCTTACCTTTCTGACCTTCCTAACCTTTCAGATGCAGCTTCATCTCTGTGTTTAGTTGTGGAGTTTGTTCTGCTAGTCTTCAGATTGCTGTCCGGTTGATTAACTTGGATGTAGATGATGTCTAGTTGAAAATATGGGATGGGATGAACTCAGGGTCCTCCACCTCTGCCATCTTCCCAAGCTTCTTGCTAGAATGATTTACTTTTAAAATGAGACATAAGGTGGAGAAGTCAAAGGAATGCATTTCTAGTGGTAAAATATCAAGGTCTTAATATCTGGCCAAGGGAAATAATTGAGTGTGATGTCTTCCCAGTCTTTTAAATAGTGTACCTAGTAAGTGACCCTGAGACTTACACAGGCTGTGTTCAATGCCTGGACTTATGAAGGACCTCCTCCCTAGGAAAAGTTTCTGACTTCAGGGCAAAAGAGCAGTAGTCTCTCAAACCAGACATGAGCCCTGGAAAGAAGCCCCTTAGTATCAGGACCTGTTTTTCTTTTCCAGCCTTGTGCAGATTTTTGCCTTAGAGCAAAGAATAGGATGAAGCATAAGAATCCCGTAGATTGGTGGTACAGAGACAAAGATGAGATGTGGTGAGCAGTGGTTTAAGACTAAGAAACCTCTTCCCAGTGGCCTAACTACCTTGGGAAGGTAGTTCCCCTTACCCAAAGACTGATGTTTTCTCTGTGTGTTTTGCTTACAGGGAAGCTTCAGACAGAGCTTGGTAAGTGACCCCTTTTGGGATTATTTCTTCTTGTCTATCTTTTAGCATCTGATTTTCCATGTATGTTCTTTTCATATCCCAACCAACTATGATGCCCAGTATGGAATGCTGATAGCAATGTGGGTGGCGGGAGAAAATGCTGATAGCAATGTGGGTGTCAGGAGAAAGGGGAGAAGGGCAGGGGTGGGTGCAAAATGCAGTGTGTGAGCAGGGAAGCAGCACTGACCTGATGTTCTGATTCCATTTTTCCATGACTGCTTCAGACTGGAGAAGGGCTGAAGGCCAGGCTGGTGAGTGAAATCTGTCTCCCTCCCACTGTCCACTTTACATCTCAACATCCCAGTCACTCACTCTGACTAACCACCCACACTTCATTCTGGTTTATTCCACAGGCACATGGCATGCATTAATGTATGTCACTTAATAGAAGTCATATTCTAGTTTTGCTCTCATATTTACTTTCATATCGTCCTGAGGTGTAAGCATATTGTAAGCCATTGGTGAAAATTATGGTTGCACATCAGAATTATCTAGATCCTGGTACCGACCCTCAAAGACTGTGACTTGTGGGTCTAGAATGGGCATGTTGACCTATATGTAAATATTTTCCCCTATACCTTCTTCCATTCCCTACATAAAGCAGTCTAATGTGTAGCTTTATTTTGTATGTATTCTTGCAAAAGGTGAATTTCTTCTTTGTGCACAAGCATTTTAGTTTCTGTAAATGACATTTACAGTCTTGTGCTGTTCCTTGCTTTTTTCACTCATCACTGTTTTAATACCCGTCCCTGCCACCACATCTGGTCTGTGTCTCCTTGCTGTGGAGTACTCCATTTTAGCCGGCCACCTTCTTGGAACAGACATCCAGCCTGCCTCTAACTCCATACCACCACACACATTGCTGACTGAATAGCTTCAAATGTGTTGCCTTCTGGCTTTATGTGGATATTTCTCTGGGATGTGTACCCAGGAAGGGAATTGCTGGTCCATGGGGGAGGGGATATGTCACTAAGTGGGATAGAAGGATCCCCCAAAGGCAGTATCATCATACTGCCATTGGCAGTACATGGAGGTTCCACATGCTACATCCCATATGAGCCAGCTTTCTAAGTTAGCTTGTCAATGGAGATGAATGATTGCTCATTGTTCTTTCAGTCTGTCCTCTTCTGGACACTAAGAAGTTTGGGCATCTCTTCATCTGCTAGATGACTTTTGGGGCTTCGTTTTTGAATATTGCCAGTTCATGTCCTTTGGCTATTTTTAGTATGAGGTTACTATCTTTCTTTTATTGATTCAAGGAGACATGCATACATACATACACATATCACCAACAAAGTTTCAAAAACTCAAGTCATAAGATAAAAATTTGATGAATTAGATTTTATCAAAATTAATGATTTCTTTTCAGTAGGAAACTATGGACATAGCTGATAGCAGGTGACAGATTAAAGAAGGAATTTACAATGTTTAATACCAGTGAGGGATTAATATTCTTATGCAGATATATCTTCATCAAAATTTTATCTTATGTCAGGTGTTTTTGAAATTCTACTGAAGAAAAACTTCCTCACACTTAGGTCACAAAGATACTCTCTTCCACTTTCTTCTGTTCACTTTATATGTGTTATGTGTATGTCTTTAATCCATCTGAAGGTTGCCATCTACTACATCATCTGTGATTTCCCCATTGATGTGGGTATTGCTCTTAGTTAATAATTGGTTCCCATGTGTAGATAGGACTATATTTTGACCACCTATTACTTCATTGTTCTTACTGCTGTGGCTTTTGTACCCAAAAGTACAAGTTATTCTCCTTTTCTAGGAGTGAACAGACATTTTTAAAAGTGAACGGACATTTTTAGGTCCATTTTAAATTTTAGGATAAATTTACAAAATCCTTTTAAAAAATCCAAAAGTGCCTAAGTGGCCCAGTCAAACATCTGACTTTGGCTCAGGTCATGATGTCCCACATCATGGGAGTTTGAGCCCCACATGAGGCTCTGCACTGACAGTGTCGAGCCTTCTTGGGATTCTCTCTCTCCCTCTCTCTCTGCTCCTCCCCCATTAGCTTGCTCTCTCAAAATAAATAGACTTAAAAAAATAAAGTTTTACTAGTTATTCTGATGTAAAAACAGGTTTGAAAGGCCCTGCTATAAATTTATGAATCTCTGAAAACTTCTATTACTTTTGCTATTTTGTGATTTGTTGATTTCTCTTTTGTAAAGCAAAATAAGATAAAACAAAACAGAAATCAACTCAGAATGGTTCATATTAAGAAAGGATGCAAGACATAATGTCTAAAGGACATGTTAGGACAGGAGCCATGTTCAACCAGGCCCCCTTGGACTGAGCCTGCTGGTCAGATTGAAACTTCATGTGCAACTTTCAGGGCATCTCAGCCACCTGTATTGGTTCTCTTTGCCTACATCCTTTGTTCTCCTGCCTTTCTCAGCACAAGGCTAGACTGCATACAGATTTGGTATAACCCAGCAATGACACCACCCACCTACCCAATTCTAAATTCCCAGAGAAATGCCATGGTGAACCCAGACCAGCCTGGACTCTACCTGTCACAGTAGGAAGGAGATCATTGGGTTTGTGCCATTCCTCATGCATCTTGAGTCTCCCTCAATGTTCTAGAGTTACTGGCTCAGATCTCTAAACCTGTTTTCCTTTCTTCTTGGTTTCAGAATGGAGAGCAGCCCAACAGTATGCAGGTAACTGAAGTCAAGGGACTGTAACTTGTGATTGGGTTGGCTGGATTTTAAACACAAGGGAGGTGGAGAGATCTGAGATTAGAGGAAGGGTCTGTCCAAGAGCCAAGTATGAAGCCTGCATGCACACACACACATACAGCATAATCCTACCTTTGCACATATATGACATGACACATATGCCTGCATGTGCACATCTGATTATACTCACACATGCACATTTTTGTGCATGCACATTATACTCACACACGCGCATATCTTCTTTAAAAGCACATCATTTTCTGTGTTTTACCAGATTTGTTTTCATCTGGCAGGAAGGCTGCTAGGGCCTGTTTGTAGGAACCTCTTATCTGAAAGAAGAGATCCTTAAGGTTCTCATCTATTAAATGGGCGTGCTTTGAGGGGTGAGGTGTTGAAGTGCAGGGCACTGGACCAGATGATCTCAGAGGTCCCTTTCCATTTTAAAATCCTAACATTGCTATAAAACTGAGGCTCAGAGTTCACATGATGATCTCAAGGTCACACAGAGTGGTGGCATCCAGGAATTGGACCAGCCAGGAGCCTCTTCACCTTGACCAGGAGTTGGGAGAAGTGAGCCTGCCTCCATCTCCACGAATCTATCTTGCTTTCTATCTCTGCTCTCCGTGGCACCTAGTATGGCATTCAGGAAACTTCAGGAAAGAAATATGATTCCTCCTGCGGCTTTCAGGTGCTCAGGAGTGACTTGCAAGCTGCTTCAGTAAACAGGGATGGTTTTAGGGTGGGAATGACCACCAGGAGCACTACGGTTTACTTGTCAGGGAAGGGGACAGGCAGGGCCCAGAACCGTCCTCCACAACCCTTAAACCCGTGCCTCTGCACAGTGCATGTAACCCTTGATCCGGCCTCGGCGCACCGCAGCCTGGAGGTCTCCGAGGATGGCAAGAGCGTGTCCTCTTGCGCAGCAGTGTCCGGCTCTGTGGCGGGGGACCAGCAGCGGTTCTCTGAGCAGACGTGCGTGCTGAGCTGTGAGCGCTTCTCAGCTGGCCGACACTACTGGGAAGTGTATGTGGGACGGCGCAGCCGCTGGTTCCTGGGTGTGTGTCTGGCTGCAGTTCCCCGCTTGGGGCCAGTGCGCCTAAGCCCGGCCAGCGGTTACTGGGTGATGGGGCTGTGGAACCACTGTGAGTACTTCGTCCTGGACCCACACCGCATCCCGCTCACCCTGCGCGTGCCGCCCCGGCGTGTGGGCATCTTCCTGGACTGGGAGGCAGGAAAACTGTCCTTCTTCAACGTGTCCGACGGCACCCACATCTTCACCTTTACCGACACCTTCTCAGGCACGCTCTGTGCGTATTTCAGGCCCAGAGCTCACGACGGTGGTGAACACCCGGATCCCCTAACCATCTGTCCATTGCCTATTAGGGGGACACAAGACCTGGAAGAGGATGACCGTGACACCTGGTTACAGCCCTATGAGCCCACAGATCCCACCCTGGGCCTATAGTGAGGCACTCTTTTGCCTGCGGGTCTGGGTCTTTGGCGGCTTCCTGGATACTTTTTGCTCTCCCGCTTCTACGGAGGAAGCATCACAAAAATGTCAGCAAAGGCTAAAGAGCACAGCAGAAAGGGAACAAAAAGAGGAACCTTTGCTTATATGTGTGTGTATACACATATATACATATAAATACACACACACACACACACACACACACACGATTTTCTTTAAGAAAAATAGGGAATTCCAAAGCTTGTTTGTGTGGATGGTAAGAAAAAGCAAATGAATAACAATAAATTCATGCTGTCATTAGCCATAGTATGCACTGTGGAAGACCAGAAAGAAACTGGAATGGAGGAAAGATGGAGGTAAATCTTACTGGACTGGATAAGAAGTATCGGTTAGCTTGTATATTTCTTATACTTTTTGTATATGTTTTCTAGTTCTAAAATGTCTAGAAGCAATGACACTTCATAAGCAATGAGTTCACTTAGGGCTTAGATCCAGTGTTAAATGGCACTTCTCACTGAAATGAACTTGGAGAAATGGCTGATTCCAGGGTTGGAGCAGAGAAAGTACAGGTGAATCTGGAACATTGTGTATTCAAATGTGCTCAGAAACTGATGGGGACGTAGGAACTAGGATGAAGAGGCTCCACTAGCCAGTTATGAGACAGCTTGAACATTATAATGAATAATGACAAGAATTGATCAACAAGGAATTGAGCAAATAAGAAAATTCCCTAAGTGTGCCGAGAGGTTTCTCAGTCAGAAAATAAATAAAAAAATGCAGAAAAAGGAAAGAAGAAAATGAAAGGTAACTCTATGAACTCACTTTTTTTTTTATATGTACAGATATGTGGAGCACACACACATGTGATAGGTATAGGTAGATAGGTATGTAGGTAGGTAGATAGATGTGTGTCTGCATGCATATGGTTCCTAGCTCTGTCAGTTTTGACAGCTTAGAAACAATAACACACCTAGCACCCAGAATTTAGCTTTTAGTACTGTTTTCCACAAAAGGAATGAAGGTTCCTTTGAGAAATGGTGGACTCCAGGGCTGAGGCGGGGAAAACACAAAATAGGTGTGATATTATGATTAATAAGTATATATTTGCTCTTCCACCTATACTCTCACACAGAGCTCTTGAAACCCTTAGAATTTCCTAAATGGTAAGAGCTATTAGGGTGGCTTTTGGTATTCATAACAAGCACCTTTCAACCATACCTTATTTATGTTAATGATATGTCTTTTGGAAAGCCCCCTAAGGATGGGGCTGGTTATCAGAGGAACCAAGTATGTGATTAAAAGGTTAAAACTTAGACCCATCTCCCAACCTCCACTTCCAAACTCAGTGAAGACAGGCTGGAGATTAAGTGCAATCACCAGTATTGCCAATGACTTAATCAACAGAATATATGTAATGAAACCTACATAAAACTCAAAAGGACCAGGTTCATAGAGCTTCCAGGTTGGTGAACTCTTGAAGAGGGGGAGAGAGTGGTGCACCCAGAAAGCATGGAAGCCTCACACTTTACCCCATTCCTTGTTTTTTGCATCTTTCCATTTGGCTGTTCCTGGGTTATAATAAACCAGCAATCTAGTAAATAAACTGTTTTCCTGAGTTCTGTGAGGTGCTCTAGCAAATTACTAAACCTCTGAAGGTTGTGGGAACCTCCAATTTATAGCTGTTAGAAGCACAGGTAACAACCTGGACTTGCAAGGGTGTGTGAAATGAAGGGCAGTCTTATAGGACTGAGTCCTTAACTTTTGGAATATGACACTATCTCTAGGTAAATAGTGTCAGAATTAACAGCTTGGTGTTAAAAAAATATACCAGAATGTGTCTAAAAGATCTTGCCTGGGTGGCTCAGGCAGTTGAACATCTGACTTTGGCTTAGGTCATGATCTTGTGGTTCTTGAGTTCGAGCCCCAAGTCAAGCTCTGTGCTGACAGCTCAGAGCCTGGAGCCTGCTAAGGATTCTCTGTCTCCTTCTCTCTCTCTCTGTCCTTCCCCTGCTCACTCCCTGTCTCTCTCTCAAAAATAAATAGACATTAAAAATATAAATAAATAAATAAATAAATAAATAAATGATCTACTAGAAAGTAAGGAAGTACTCAAAGAATGAAGAGGATTTATTGTCAAATTGGGTGTTGTATGGAAACCAATTTGACAATAAATTTCATATTAAAAAAATAAAGTTTACTGAGAAAGAAAAAAAATCAGCTCAGAATGATCTGCATGCCAAAGGGGCATATTTTGGGGTGGCATATTTGGCTACCCTTCAGCCCAAAAAACAAAATTTTGAACAACACTGAAGGGGATTATAATATGCCACCCCAATATCTGCCACTTTGGAATGAAAATTATTTTGAGCTGAAGGCAATTGAGAATTAACAGATGTAGAAAGAATCTCTCACAGAGCTTCTGTTAAAAAAAAAAAAGAATGAAGGGGAGATGTCAATTTGACATAAAAGTCAGCTTAAAGGAACTCTACTAGCCAAATTTGATCACAGTAATTAATGGAACTTACAAATAAGTAAAAATAGGAATCCAAGCATATGTATATCTACACTGATATACATAAATAAATGAATACCCAAATAGGGGAGAAGAGAAAATTCAACTCTACAACAGAAGTTTCAAAGTATTTCCAACAAAATAACAATTACTTATTAATTTAGAAGCACAATACACTTACCGATTTTACAGAGGAGGAGACTGGCAGACATCACAATAACAGAGTGACAAGAGTTAACATCACCAGATATGACATAAATTTATACCATGTGTTTCCTGATGCAAAACAGTGAAGAGAAAACAACAGCATCACTTTTGAGGTATTCCTGCCCCCAAAATTCATAAATCATGAAGAAATAGACAAGCTGGCTGATACTCCTAAAAACTGTCAAGGTCATTAAAAACAAGGCAAGACTAAAGAATTATTTCAGATTGAAGGAAACTAAAGACAGAGGACGACTAATGCAATAGAGTAATATATAGAGAGAATGATAAATGAATGCAGTGGTATCATATAAGTGCTAAATAGCTGGCTTTCTGGGAAGAAAAAACTGTAGCAGTTGTTAATTTCCATGGTGTAAATACTACTATGGCTGATGTCAAGCCATTGATGCGACATCAGTGATGGATTTGGGAAGAAATGCCCACAACTGGCTCTCAAGCCACCAGCTCCAGCATACCACTGATTTTATGTGATTCTACATAGAGCATTTGGTCATCTATGTGACTGTTTCTCTAAAAAATCAAATAAGTTCATTTTTGAGTTTATGAAAATGCTTGGCTACCTGTTATTATAAAATTATAGCCTTGTTCAGAAGAAATGAATAGACACTTTTCCAAAGAAGACATCCAGATGACTAGCAAGAAGCATGACAAGATGTTTAACATCACTCATCATCAGGGAAATGCAAATCAAAACTGCAGTGAGATATCACCTCACACCTGTCAGAATGGCTAAAATCAATGCAATAAACAACAGGTGTCAGGGACAATGTGGGAATGCTTTTGCACTGTTGGTCGGAATGCTAACTGGTGCCACTACTCTGGAAAACAATATGGAGGGTCCTCAAAAAATTAAAAATAGAACTACCTTATGGTCCAGCAGTCACACTACTGGGTATTTATCCAAAGATTACAAGAACAGTAATTCAAAGGGATACATGCACCCTGATGTTTATAGCAGGGTTATTACAATAACTAAGATATGGAAGCAGCCTGGGGCCCATTGAGTGATGAATGGATAAGGAAGAGAGAGAGAGTGAGATGATGATAGATAGATAGATAGATAGATAGATAGATGATAGACAAATAGATGATATATAGATAATGGAACATTAATCATCCATAAAAAAGAATGAAATCTGGCCATTTGCAATGACATGGATGTACTAGAGAGTATTATGCTAAGTGAAATAAGTCAGAGAAAGACAAATACCATATGATTTCACTCATATGTGGAATTTAAGAAACCAAAGGAGCAATGGTAAAAAAGAGATTGAGAGACAAACCAAGAAACGGACTCTTAATTAGAGAAAACAAACTGATGGTTACCAGAGGGGAGGTGGGGGGATGGGTAAAATAAATGAGGATTAAAGAGGGCACTTGTGATGAGTACAGGGTGTTGTAGGTAAGTTTTGAATTACTAAGTTGTACACCTGAAACTAATGTTACACTGTATGTTACCTAACTGGATTTAAATAAAAACTTAAAAATAAACTTAAAAATAAAATAAAAACTTAAAAAAATGCTAAGAGAAATAATGGGGAAACAGGGAAAAAGAGAGAGAGAGAGAAGCAAATCAAGAAATAGACTCCTGGGGTGCTTGGGTAGTTCAGTTGATTAAGAAGTGTCTGACTTTTGGCTCAGGTCATGATCTCAGGGCTCATGAGTTTGAGCCCTGCATCTGGCTTTCTGCTGTCAGCACAGACCCCACTCTGGATCCTCTGCCCATCTCTCTCTTTATGCCCCTTCCCCTCCAAAAAATTAAATAAACATAATTAAAAAAGAGAAATAGACTCTTAACTGTAGAGAACAAACTGATGGTTACCAGAGGGGAGGTCAGTCAGGGCATAGATTAAATAGGTGATGGGAATTAGGGAGTGCTTTTGTCATGATAAACACTGGGTGATGTATGGAATTGTTGAATCACTATATTGTACACTTGAAACTAATATAACACTGTATGTTAACTAACCATAATTAAAGTAAAGACTTTCTAAAAGTTATAGCCTTATTAACATAATATGTATGATATTCAGAAAAAATTGGTTATGTATAATCATTTGTATTAGTGTGCAAATATTTTGGTGTCCTACTCACAAATGTTGTATGATAACATTAGAAGTATGTTCCTTGACTGTATACAATGATTATCCATTCCTTTAATATTG